AACCCGCCCGCGAGCGTCGGCGGCAGCGTCCAAGACGGCTGCGGCGAGTTTATGCCCGGCGGCGAAGAGGGCACAATCGAGGCCCTCAAATGCGCCGCCTGCGACTGCCACCGCAATTTCCACCGGAAAGAGGTCGATGGAGGCGGTGGAAACCGCCCGTACGGCTCCTCCGCCGCCCTCAGACCACCACCGGCGGTGGGGATGAGCATGATGATGAGTCCCCTCATGGTTTCGCCCCCGGCGAGTTTCCACCACCGGAAGTACGGAATGGTAACGCCGATGAGCGTTGCTTACGGCGGAGGAGGAGCCGAGTCGTCGAGCGAGGATCTGAATTTGTACGGACAGTCAAGTGGGGAGTACGGAGCGGCTGTGGGAACGCAGACGCAACCGCCGTTTTCGATGACGAAGAAGCGATTCCGGACGAAGTTTACATCGGAGCAGAAGGAGAGGATGATGGAGTTTGCCGAGAAGCTGGGATGGAGGATGAACAAGCAAGACGAGGAAGAGCTGGAGAGATTCTGCGCAGAGATCGGAGTCAAGAGGCAAGTGTTCAAGGTTTGGATGCATAATAACAAAAACAATGTCAAGAAACAACAGTCCATGTAATGATCATGAAGATCATATAATATATATATAGGCCTATATCTATATGAAATATATATATATGTATGGCATGAGTGTTAGTGTTAATTATTGTGGATGATGAAAGACCATGTGTTTCAATGTTTAGTTTAGCAGTTGTGTTTCCATCACTGCATGTTTTGCTTGTCAGTGATCTTGTTTTGTTTATAGTTCATGTCTCCTGGCCTTTTAGGAATAATATTTATTTTTCTCTCTAAAATTATGCTTTACAATTGGTAAATGCTAGTTCTATATCAATACCCATATCATTTGATCATGGTTCATACATATGTATATATATATTAATGGATGAAATGTACCAAAAATTTATACAGGTTATAATCTTTTGGCAGTGAAGGGTGGTATTGCCAACATTTTTCACGTACATATAGCATCTTTATATTGAATGTATGTGTGCGTATATATATGTATAGCACATCTTCCAACAAGTACATATCAGTATGGAACAGTAGATAGAACGTGGAAGACAACAACGTACAATACGACAAAAAAAACTGCAACTCTTTCATGAGTTAGTCCACTGTTTTCTGCAACACAATTTCCTTTTTCCCCCCTTAATTTTGACCATAAATGATTTTATAACTTTGGATTCCACAAAATTAAACAAATATTATAACATTCGAGCTGATCGAATCAACATCACATGCTTTACTTCTTCCCCTATTTTTTTTTTGGGGGGGGGGGGTTTATATCGATATCTAGATCGATTTTTAAGAACGCCGCACATAAATTATTAAAGTTAGAATATGTAATTCTAATCTTTTTTTTTTTCCGAACTTATGGTGTGCATTATTTATAAACAAACACGTAACGTGTTAAGGATATGCTGCTTTCATTCACGCAATCCGTAGTCCGTACATTGGACCGGGTTAGATTCAACGTACTTCAATACTCGTTGGTTATATGAAAGTAAATCGTATTAATTTTTCAATTTCAAAATTTTCATTTTACTAGGAAAAATCCTTAATTATATACTCCTTCATGTATAATATATATATATATATATATTAGACATATAAAATAAAATGGGGAAAACGAGTTTTTAAAAGTGGGCCAAGAGAAATGTATAGGCTTTTTATACTCATGATCAAAGTCCACGGCCCAGAAGGTACACCACCACTAATTCATCATAAAAAAAAAATACAAGGCAACAAATTTAGTTATTGAAGGCATACATACATACATACATATTATATATATATATATATATATATATTCCAACTCATGTTACAAATTATACATTAGGAAACATATATAGTTAGAGATATTCCAACTCATGTTATTCTGTTTGAAGGCATACATACATATTTATATATATGGGTACAAATTATACATTAGGAAACAAATTTAAATGGCATACAATGTTCATTTCCGAACCCTTTGGTCCATATAAAGACATTCACAAACTTTAGTTATTGTTGGGTCTTTTCCATATTGAAGCCCCAGTCCCTGCAGAAAAATATATATATTTTTTTAAACATATGTATGAGGAATTATGGAATATAATCATGCACTATGTCTCATAAATAATAATTTCATACTACACATATTTTCAGACCAAATTTTATTTAATGGTCATAGATGCAAGAAAAAAAAAAGGTTGCACCAATGCCATATAATTTAAACGCATCATCTTTAATATATGTTTGACGTATAATTTGAATCATTTTTTTTTTGTGCAAAGACTTAATTAAAATCAACTAATGATATGTACCATAATTTATCTTAAATTCTAATTTTCAAAACTTTTACTAACTCCATCATTCATAATATTTTTGAGTTATTAATAAACTAAGATTCTAATGCAACTTAACTACAATTACACAGGCTCTTCTACATGCCACGATTTTTAAATTTAAATTTTAGCCGTCACCGATATAAAATATATTTTTTTTTAAAAAACGGATTAGAACGTGAAAATACCTCAATTTATCGCCGAACCAGCCATAGACGGACTGAGCGGCGGAGGAGAAGGAGGCGACGGCG